ATCTATACCCAAAAATGCAGGTAGTTATTGATTTTAGAGGATATTCCACAAAATATTAAGTTATTTTTTTGTTTACTTTCAAATATTATTTAAATTGAGAACATTGTGAAGAATATCACTACGTCGACTAGCCATCAGAGGTCTATAGTTACTCATGCCAATTCTCGCAAGTGCCGAAATACATGAGTATCTGTTTATATAGAACTTCTTTCTAACATCTCCCCCAGGCGTCTAAGGTAGGCTCCCATTACATTACCTTACTGATGAGTCTAGTAGTGGGAAGCTGGAACGAAACGCCAACTTGTGATATTCTTCGCAATCTTATTTTTCACAGATTTTCATTTATTATTACTTTAACATTACATCATTAGAATTTAATATGTCTTTCAACATATTATTAAGATCCAATAAGATGCTGTAAGCATAAAAAATTGTGATATTACTACGGTAGTCGATTAGAGTTGCGTTGTAAGTCTGAAGGATTTTCGGCACGCGTTTTAGGGGACTACATACGTGGTATATAAAATTCACACTTTAACATATCTTATATTTGATCGCACTAATAACAGCGAATAGCTCTCATTAGCCTTTATATTCTTGTTATTTGTTATTTTTTTTGTTTTGCGTCGAAAAATAATATTCGTTTATTTCTTTAAAATTTAAGTTTTTTGTCCGAATACTTTTGTTAATTATATTTTTGTTTAGAGTTTAAAATATATACTTAATGTCACCAATTTGTCAAACTGGTTATTATATATGTTATAATATTATATATGTTATTCATTATCCTACCTACTATAATCTAATCAATTAACTTTATGTTAATACCTTGTATCATTCATAAAATTTAAAAAAAAATTATTTGTCCAAATATATTTTCCCGGTACTGTATATACAATATATACATACATATATATATGTATATATGTGTGTATACACAGGGTGTTGAATTAACCATTTCAAATATCTCTTGAACAGTGCATTTTAGAGAAAAATGTTTCGGATAAAAATTATGACTTTAAGAAGGATATAAAATAGTATCATTAATTTGACCTTGGATAGCTTTGTGTCAAGATTATAGAAAGGTTACTTAAATTTCTTTAATGAAACCTCTTATTTTTCATTGCATTCTTGTAGTTTATCTCGAAAGTTTTTCAAACACTATAACAAAATATTTTTCATTATGTAGGTATTTTTCAAGTTTTAAGACTTGAAAGTTACAATACCACCGGCATTTAGTATTATTCTACGTGTCTGACCGACAATTAAAACCTGTTGAATGTTGTTCAAAATTATGAATTAGATTACATTTGTCAAACTTTCGTTTTACACAAAAATGAATTTTTAGTGCAAAAATAAGAGGTACAACCTCAAATAATCTTGATTTTGTATTTACTTTGATCGGTAAATATCGACAATAGGGGACCCAGATCCAATAACTTTAACCTTGAAATATATTGTCAAGGTCATAGTGGCCCTGAGTGACTTTTAACAGGTTTTAGATGGCGATCGCCCTCCATAAAAAATTAATAACAAGAAACGTTTGAAAACTAATGTCTCTTTTCTATTATGCAAAGTAGCCCTTGCTTCACATTGTACAGTGTATGCGTGGATACAGTGGGTAGCTCCACTATCAGAAAATTCAGAGAAAGTTAATATACCACGCTTTGATACTTGTAAATATCATTACCAATATTACATTGCAAAATTTTTGTTCAAGAGATTGTACACATTTGATAAACGTATAAATGCATTTTTTTGTTTGGAACTTTTTTGCTAATGACTTTAACAAAGGAAGACTGCCACCTGTATAAAACCTGTTAAAAGTCACTCAGGATCATGACCTTGACAATATATGTCAAGGTCATCAGAGTTGAGTTCCTGATTATCGATATTTACCTTAATCTAATATTTTAAAGGTCATGATTTTAAACAACATTCAAGAGATTTTAGTCATCAGTTGGACACCTAGGTTAATACTAAATGCTAGCGATACTGTATCTTTCAAGTCTTAAAACTTGAAAAATACCTACTTTAATAAAAAAAATATTTTGTTATAGTATTTTAGAGAGCTCTCTCTCTCAAGATAAGACAAAAATATATGCAATGAAAAATAGGGAATTGCATTTAGAAAATTTAAGTAACCTTTTCCTGACTTTGATAACACCACTCAAGGCCAAATCAATTGTACCATCTTATATTCCCCTTGAAGTTATACAATTTTTGTATAAAAAAATTTTTCTAGAATGCACTACAAAGAGAGATTTGAGGTGGTCAATTAAAAAAGAACACCCTCTATGTATGTGTGTGTGTGTGTGTGTGTGTGTGAGCGCGCGCGCGCGCGTATGTGTATAGAGGGGAGGCATTTTCTATCAAATCGGCCACTCTCCTGTCCAAAATTTAGTTTAATAAAAAAATTTCTTTCTGTTTCTGGACTTCAATTGTAAGTACTTACGAATATGTCTACTTTCTTTAGCACTTTGTGCATATGTCTACTTTCTTTCTGGCCTTTTTGGAAATTGTTTACAAAGTATTGATTGAGATCGCTTAAATCATCACTCAAATGGCTAAGCTTTAGAGTTCAGAGATATCAAAGGATTTGCCGGTTATCACGGTGTTGTTATTCATTACTAATGCCAACGTTATGTGAATCTTGCTATTCATTTCATAAGGACGAGGAGAGCATTAACGAGGACCGTCGAGACTAATACTTTTGAGAAAAATGCATAAATCACATTTTTCTCGAAATAGTATTTTCCAAAAAGAATTACCATGACAACTTGTATAATTTTAATTTAATCAACTTAAAATTTTAAGCTGTTACATATTACTTTTCTTCTCAATCATTGCTTCGTGAAGCCATCATGTTAGCTCACCACGTTGCATTTTCAAAAAGGCCAAAGTTCTAAAAAAAAAAAAAGTAGACATGTGTACCTACAATTTGAGTCCAGAAAGAAATTTTTTGGATGAACTAAATTTTAGATAGAAAGGGCTAATTTAACAGGAAATGCTTCACACACACACACGCACACTCACACCCACACATACACACACACACACACACACACACACACACACATATACACACACATACTCATCCACGCACGCAGGCATATGTGATGATACACTCACTCATTGTCATATTTTAACTAGATTCTTCTCGTAGAATCGATTAAAAAGGCGCAGTATATTAGCAATATAAAAATTAGTTAAAATAATTTCCAAAGTTATATAAAACGTATTAAAATTCAATTAATGAAATCGTATAATTTAACACATACAAGATATTCCCTCAATGTGAGTTAGAAAAATTAATTGATAAATACTCTTACTAGTACTGACACACTAGTATCACATCTACTCTTCATACATTTTATTTAACAGTCTCTATCATAATGGACGTGATAATCGCGTCATTAGTAAGTATTCGTTTTAAATAATTCGTGAACCGTAGAGTTGTAGCTATCACTTAAAAAAAGACATAGTTGTCTTACATAATTTAAATGTTAATTGAGACTGTTAAACAATAAGTCAGTCTTACACAATAAGGCCAATTTTCTAGGCAAGCCTGTTCACTCCTTTACGACAAATGTTATGAATCGCTTCACAATGCTATTATCTGCGCCTTTGTAACACTAATTTCTGTAAATTATTTATTACGTTAATCTTCGTAAGGAATACTCTGTTGTATCTTTTCTCCAAAAGATCATAAATATGTATGATAAAAATTTTCTCTTTTTCATCAATTTTGCAATGAATTACGTTTACAAGTATGTATATGTATAATTGTATATAGTACACAGATTCATTTTCTTAGAAAAATTGTTTTGTATGAACTAGTAGATTAAACTAGTAGAAATCTAAAATTTTGTAAAGTACAAACGTAGTGAAAAGACTTAGCTGCAAAAATAGATGCACGAGCTTTCTCTACTTAGTTTTATTATTTTTGGTATCGAGCTGCCAAGTTCCACAACGTGGTTTTATACTTTTGTGTTAAAACATAAGTTGGGAAGTGTCTCTCTCTCTCCCTCCCTGCCCCCCTCTCTCTCCTCCCTCTCTCTCTCTCCCCCCCCTTTTCTTTCTCTCACTATTTCTTTTCAACATTTTAAAAATCAACAGTTTTCTTTAATATAATGTCTTTTTTCCCGTCAATTTCTTATAGCTATCTGTCTTGTCTATGTAAATTTTCTAAAAATGCAAAAAGTAATTAAAAAATGGTAGTATATGAATTAATACTTTCCGACATTAGTGTAAATCACGCTTTATACGATCCATCACACGTTTGTCAATTAGGCATGTGTACATATAAATATATCTGCTCATGCTGAATGCCTTCTGATATAAATATATGCAGCTATTTGCTGCTATCATATCACATTGTTGACGTTTGTGAAAAAATGCACGGATGTCAAAAACATGTTGATCACGATCGTAGAATTTTGTTAACTCGAAAGCAACTTAAGTATTTAAAGAAACAGCTTCTAATTTAGCAGCATTTAATATTTGGCTTAATCATAAAAGTAAAAATTTTAATATTTAATCATATAAGTAAAAATTTTAATACTTTTAAAAAATTTTATTACTCTTTGCAATTTCTACGAGAGATCTATTAAATAAATTACATTTGTATGACTTATTATTTTTTCACAAACGCGCGTTCCGAAAACAAGCATGTAAAACAGACGCAACTTTATTCGGAATTTCACTCTGACATATCTGCGCGTCCGAAAAACAAATTGCCTTAAACGCAAACGTTTTCTACATATATATGTACAACCTGTGTATCAATTGATTTTCCCCAGTTGGAAATTTTACTATATATCAAGATTAATATCTTGCTAATGTTGTGTATATATGTATGTGCATTTATAATACACGTAATAAAACTCTGATCAATCAAATAATTTTATGTGTATAGTAGAACGGTGTGTTTACCGATGTTTATCGATATCTCTACAATATACACAATGAATCAATCAACTACATCATATCGCTCTGTCTGTTCCTGTGTTACTAAACGGCTTTATATTAACTAGCTCCTAACAAAAACCATCTCATTTCAGATGAATGGATTGCTCCGCCTCTTCAACGATCCAAATCGCTTTTCCGACACTTCGCGGATTACCTCAAAAGGCGCTACTTTCATCCGACCCACTTGCCTCTCCTCATTCTCGTCGCTGGGGAAATCCTCGAAACTCATATTGCTGAAACCGGTAGTCGCGGCCGTGCTCTTCTTACCCTTGGGCGTTTTCTTATAGCTTGCCGATTTGATCTTATGAGACGCCTTGTAAGTTGGTAATACGTCGGTGACATCACCATGGTTTTCGTTGATCAGATGGTATTTGGACTTGTCCGATTTGGATTTGTCCTTCTTGTTGTGTTTCGGAGTATCGTTATCCGCGGCGACCAGAGGCTCAGGCGACATGGGTAACATCATATTGGATGTGATATCTACCTTAGAGACGCTGTTGACTGCGTGAACAGTGATTCTTGCAGTATGCGTGGTCGTTTGAATCATATAGGCGGACGATTGCGATTGTGATGGCAGGGTGGGTGTCAAATGAACGACGGTGTTCTTTGGGGATTGCACGACGCTGCTGATTGGCAACGCCATCGTTAACGCAACATTGTCCACGTAGTTCGGCGACTGCAACTGTGACAGCGACTGCGACAGTGACAAAGATGTCGGGCGTTGCTGTTGCTGCTGTTGTTGTTGCTGCTGTTGCTCATTGAGCTTCAGCGAAGCAAATTCCTCGAATGGAATCGACCCGAAGAGATCCTTGGACGACTCCGCAGCAATCGTTGGTTCAGAGTTCACCGTCACCATGCCATATTTCGACGTGGACGCGATTGTGCTCGAATGACTAGTGTTATAATTGTTCTGTGCCGCACTGTGGGATTGCAGTGAAACGCAGTTGGTGTAATCAATGTACGAGGAAGGGCCGACTGGACTCAGGATTGACAGGAGTTCAGTCGGCGCGGAGTCGATATTCGCAAAATTGGACTGAGCGTTGTTAAAGGGATTAGTGAATCCGCTCGGACTAAATGGAGAAGAACCAAAAAGGTCCTTTCCAATGTTCTCCTCCCCCTTTTCTACCTCCTCCTCCTCCTGCTTCTCTTTCTCCTCTTCCGTCTCCGCCTCCTTTTCCTCCTCCTCCTCCTCGGCAACGTTGACGCGAGAGGTGTTTTTGACTGGCGACGACATTTGGACAACGCTTGGCTGATGGAACGTCGTTAACTCTTCGTAGATAGTCTTGCTATCCACGATTGCGATACTTTTGGGATATTTACAAGACAGAACAGCGGACTTGGACAACAGAGGCACAGGTTTATTTTCCACCACGTCCGCAAACACCTCCATCGGTATAGGCGAGCTTGAAATCGGCGTCACCAGATTCGAGTTGTGAGGTGAGTTCCTCGCACTGCCGCCTAGATCGATGTTCCTGGACTCACTCTCACGACTGTCACTACTCTTCCGCGAGCTGCTGGATCTCGGAAAAGGTGCCAAGGCGAATACGTCATCCTCCACTTTCCAGATCCCATTATTGAGCGACTTGGACTTGTCGTTGTCATCGGACGAGCTGTCATCGTTATTGAACAGCAGCGGTTTTGAACCATACTGATGCCGCACAAAAGGATCGCCGTGTGACTGCTCCGGTTTGGACTCGGGGTCCAACTCATCGTCCAGTAACAACGGCTTCTCACCATACTGGTGGCCAACAATCGGATCCGCGTCGATTGTCGGCAGCTGTTGGTCCTGCTGCCGATAGTGGTGTTTCCTCGGCCTCTTCATCCTGTAATCGTCTTCGTGTGTCGCAACGGACTCGCATTCCGCATGATACGCGGAGCTGCCACATGTGCGCACGCTCTCGGAGATGGTCTCGTCGTGCTTTCCGCATACGTCGCCGTCCTCGTCATCTTCGTCGTCGTTCACCTCACCGTCGTTACCTTCCTCGTCGTTCATCGCGCGTAGATCGCTGGCTGAACCAATCGAATCATCTGACTCGTAATCGACGTTTGTCGCGTTCTCCGTGTTATTGTGCAACTGGGTAGCGACTCTTCTTTTGCGGCTCAACACGTTCTTCACGCGCCTTCTCTTTGCCTTCTTCGCTCGCTCCTTCACCTCCTTGGCATCCTTGTCACTATCACTCGATACTTCATCGGCATTGAACGCCAGTTTCTCATACTTGGAACGGTCCTCAGCCGGTGCACGGACAAACGGTGGTGAAACCGGGCTAGATTCCGTAAAGATCAAGGACGCCTCGTCGTCCACACCACCACCACCGCTGCCACCTTGTTCAATCCCGGAGTTCCATTGCGCCAAGGGCACCCTTGCTCTACCGTTTGTCGATTTCCCTGAAAAACAGAGAGTCGCATTACATTAATACAAATGACATCCAAAACAAGACGTTCTTTTCATATATCAATGATAAGTATATCTTTTTTTAGAATAAAACTATCACGTGAACCTCTGTTATCACTGAAGCGTAACGTACTTACCTATATTCTTTCATTTCTTTTGCAAAACCTCATCAGAGAGATATGATTCGATAATGGTCTATGTTAGACAGTATCGATCCTCTCAATTAGCGAAACTCCCTCTTACGCTATGCAGAGTATCCCAAATCTTATAATGAAGAAAAACTGCGAATTTTCAGTACAATCTGATACTGTACGTTTATATGTATATATAGAACATACTAATACCTGTTTTTAATAAATTTTTACAGTAAAATGATAAAATTTAAGCTATTAATTATGCATTTGCTTCCCAATATAAGAAATTATACTCTTAATCATTTTCCTAATTGATTCAACTATTTTTACTAGTATTATACATCAAATGTAATTTTTGTACTGTATTATGCTATCAATATATAAATTTCGCTTTTAATACTTTTAAATCAAAGTATTTGCACCTTATAAAATGTACAGATATGACTGATCTTATGATATAAAGCGTGATATCGTAATCTATAGAAAAGAAAGAATCCGAAGAAACGGGAAATAGTCTGATTAGGTCTGTTACGATTAGTGCACTTTGTTAAGTATGATGTGCATTGTAGTCTTTACAGTTTTACTATAATGAAATTTACAGAGAAAGATAATGTTAGATTCTTTGACATGGAGAAAGTAATACAATATACATATTTTAAGATAAGCTATTTGTTAGTTACCGCCACCAATAGATCTGGAACAGTCCTAATCAGATTTAGAGGATTGAGGATAAGTATTAAAAACGCAGTAATGCTCTGAATAACAGGTTTGCTTTAAGCCATCACGAGTACACATATCCCTAGCGAGATGTATTAGATTGTTCCGGCATAAAAGGCAAAGTATTGCTGCGTTTTCTGCCAGTAGCGTTCAGAAAAAAACAAATACTCCGTATGCTAATTTACATTTTATTGCTGCAACATTATTTGTCTTAATACAGCGAGAAAAGTATTGTCCGAGGTATTTGTCAGCCCCCTATAGTGCTCTTAATTCGCAAAACAATTTCTCTCTTTTTCATAGTTTTTCGAGTCTCGCTACAAACACTATTGAAGAGGAGCATGCTTATATTTCGATGATGGCGAATAGACAATAAGTCCTACTATTTTTGTATTGTGTATCGCAACTTAACTCATCGCAATTAAAATATATCTCTCTAAGAGATAATATATTATTAGAGACACTATGGGAGGCAAACAAAGCAGGACAAAATTGATAAAGAAAGATTACGTAAATAAATTCGATTCAAGACAAAAAGACTCATGCCTCCCAAACTTATTAGGTTGTTCCAGACATTGGACAGATACGAGTATATAATTTCTCGTAAATTTTTCTTTCACAAAGAAATAAGCACATTTATCGATTATCATCAATTGTCTCTGCTTTCACACAATAAAGAAAAAATTAATATTACAGCGGTTTTGGTAATACTACTAGTATCAGTAAAAAGGGAACATGCTAACTTTATTCGACTTTTTGCAATAAAATTAAATTTCCCCAACATACAATTTTTTAAAAAATATCAATGTGTTGTTATATTTAAATTATAATTTCACTATTATTACTTCGCTATATAAAATCTTCATTAGGAAATATAACAATTATAACAAGTACATCCAATATTAATTAAAGTGCCTATAGTATTTGTGTTACTATGTAAGATATGTTATTTAATATAGATATTAACGCATTGGATATAACAATACGTAAGACTAGTATGAAAAATACAAGGAATGTATAACATGGATCGTGATTTTTCACACTTTCATATAAGATAAAATAATGCAATTTAGCAATGCTGCTTTTCAATTATTTCTCTTATAAGTTGTAAATCTTACCAATGCTGAATTACATCATTTTACCTTAACATTTTATTTATGGACCAACAAAAAATACAAGTGGAGAAGTTATACCAAAGTGAACCCAAATTGACAAATATCATATAAAAGCGGTGTAATTGAGATACTATGAAAAGGAATTAACAAATAAGAAACTAAAAAAGATATAATTGAGGTGAAAGAAACGAAGGACGAGGAAGAATAGTAAGAAATGAAAATAATCGCTAAGTATTATTTACCAGACACTGTAGTATTACCATCGCGCGAAGCAGATACAATCTTATGATCTTTATATAATAACCCTTAACGTATGTCTGTATGTATATTCATACATTGCGCAGAGATTCGTCATTTTTTGAAAAGGAAAGGTTCGTGCTATTACAAGGCCTTCCATTAAGAAGTTTCATTTTAAATTAATAAAAAAAACGAATAAGTTTTTGAAAATGTTAAGATATATTTAATCTAATCCAAAGTATAGATTGTGCGATTAAATGTGGAACACAATATTAGCCAAATAGACGCCTTGACTTTTTTTTACAAATGGTTATTCTTTTGAGGAAATTTAGGCCCTTAAAATACTATTGTTTATAAGAAATTTTTCATTACATTTTTGCACAATTGCGGTTCAATTTCGCCAGCAGTTCGAATATTGTTTTTGAGCGTCTAAATCGTTTGCAGAGCATTTACATAAATCTTATCCTTCACAATCCTAAAAGAAAAAGGTGTCAAATTGCATAATCTGGACGACCAATTGAAGTCTCTGTTATGTGCACGTCCAGGGAACTTCTTACGTCTCAGAACTGTCATCACAAAATTTTCACCGTTTGTAGTGAATTTTCGCTATTTCTATGCAGTGTGTGTATGTGTGTGTGTGTGTGTGTGTGTGTGTGTGTGTGTGTGTGTGTGTGTGCGCGCGCGCGCGCGCGCGCGCGCGCGAGCACGTGCTCTTTAAACAAATATCGATCCATTGTTATTAACCGCATAGTTTTGACTCGACAATTCCATCTATAACAGATACAAAATGCTGCGAAATTTAAAATAAAACCTTTTAATGGAAGACCCTGTAGTTCCGCACACAAAATTAAATCTTCGTATTCGACAATATATCCAGAAACATTCTTTCTAGTTCCATACTTCTCGCATTAACACAGATGCTTTAATTGGCATTGCATATAATATTCTTTTAGAGAAATACTTGAAACCTATTCTTCCCACGTTTTTCCTTTTATACGCTATATAATACAATCATTATAACACATGATACGTTTGCACGTATATGTATATGAGTAGGACAAAATAGTGTACCTAACTTTGTATATCACATAATATATAACATAATTTTTCATATATGATATATGTAATATATATATATCTTATATATATATATTGCATTATGTGTGTGTATATATATATGTATAATATGTAGATGTCTGTTTTATATATGGATATGCAATAATATTTACATGTAATTTGTTCCTTTCTTTTTCGACACACCAACTATTCCGTATGGAAACACTAAAATAAAAGCTAATTTCCGCTTTGTGTACTACATATCATAGGAACATCTATTATTAAAGACAAAATCTTTTCAGCCTACATATGTATGTTCATCATATTTTCAACACTTAATAATTACACTTGTTCTAACATAATTAATATACAGCGTATTTTTGTGTCTAATGTTCGATGTATTACCCTTATACTGTAATATACTATTTGAGGTAAGTATAGAAGTTAATGTGTAATTTACTGGTAATATTCTATCATTCCTTTCTCATGTAATTGAGCATAACTGAGCGGATTTGCATCACAATCACTTTTTCACAAACATAATATATTGACAAAATAACCAATTTTCCAATTATTAAAACGATAACAAAGTATTTTGACAAGCAAGTAAAAGAATCAATATAAAAGAAAAAACATTTTATAATTTTTTAAGTCTAATTTTAAATATTTCAACAACCATAAAAATGTAATTTTTAAATAAATAATTATACATATGACATTAAAAAATAAATTTTTAAAAGATATAATATTTCGATAATAAGTAAATATACATATTGTAGAAATAAAGACATCTACAATATTTTTTTGCAAATTATTTGTGCTTAGATTACACTTCCTATTAATACCATATGTATCTATTCTATTATATTTAACAGATAGATTTATGTTTAAAATTACAAGAACGTCATAAAGTAAATCTTTGAAACTCATTAGTAAACTAAGAAATTTTTTTCATTTACAGGTGTCCTATGGGAATGTGTTAAAACTGTACGATTGGTTCTCTCCTCCATGACTTCAAAAAGGATCTTATGATTAACAGTTGTCCGTTTCTAGGTCTATAATTTTATTTTGGCTATGGTAGAAGCAAGTTCGTGCGCGTCAAAATGAATAAACTAGCAACGGAAGTATATCTTATCGAGTGCTTCTTTTTTAAAGGAAAAATGTATAACAGTGCTTATAGGTGGTTTCGTAAATACGAAACACAAAGTTATGAACAAAAAACCACACTAAAAAGTTTAGAATTTATTATTTATTTAAATTTATGTATTACGTCACTCCATTTTTTGGCACTAAATCGCTATTAAAATAATCTTGTGTTGTTTTTAACAAAATTATCGTTAATTTTATACAGTATGGAACTTTCCAAGATCGTAAACATTTTTCCGTTATTGATTTTGGGAATCGTAAAATCCCAACGTTTATCTGATTAAACCTTTACATCCACAAAAAATAACGGCATGGACTACGATCTCGGTAAAACGAATTGATCTGCAATTCTTCGAATCAATGGTCATAGGTAAAAGTTACAAGCAGCTTCTCAAAAAAAAATTATTCCCTTGCACAAAAAAAGGTTTATGCCCATTTCCATCAATGTAGATTAACTTTAATCTCGGTTCAATTTGCTCTTCGTCTTTTTCTAGTTCTAAAAATTAGAAAAAGATGAACAGTAAGTTTAACCGAGATTATAAAGTTAATCTACATTGGTGGAAACGGGCATTAGTCAGAAGATTTCATTTC